CTGCAACAAAAGGCGTGCTGGTCATTAGGGGGTGGGGGGGGGGGGGTGGGGGAGGGAGGCGCTAGATGTCTCAGTTTGCGGTAATAAGCTGGTGAGACTTGAAAGCTTCTGCAAACGTGAGAAAGTAACTAGGATCTTGAGGGCTTTGGTAATCGAGATGTGAAGCATTTGACTAGCAGAGATCTGCTTGACAATTGCAGTTACTTAAAAATGTCATATAAACGGGGCATTTCGGAGGATGAAGTCTCATTTAAAATCAAATGATCCGTAAAATCTTACCGGTATATCACACATGCAGATCTTAATATGACTGTGCCTACAGTAGTGCTTACTTAGTAGTTTATTTTGAAATGCTAAGCACGTAGGTGACATCTCGGTGGTATTCAAATTCCATTCAAGTTATGCTTTAAGCAACTAACATCGAAATTAAATTACATAAGCCTTCAAGCAATGATAAGTACGATTTCAAAGGATGACAGTATTAGCAATGTTCAGCATTTTCCTCAAAAAGCAAGTGGCTCGACGGATTTGTTTAAAAAGAAACATGGCAGCTGAAATTGTGTAGTTGAGTACCTCAACTGCGTCTTCTTGCAGTTCCGTTTTCAATGGTACGAATACTGTGAAAACTTACAAAAATACTCTGAATTTTCACAACCTCCTTTCTTAACAAGATGACTTTTGGATGTTTCCTGGCTTATCCCCACTCAATAGCCAAGTTTAAAGCCGGAGAAAGTAAGCCATTTTCATAACAGCCTGTTCACGGACTGGCTTTCACAATTCCAAATGTCAGAGCATTACGTGTAGCATTGTAATTAAGATCAAAATCACTAGTGTTTAGCATATGAAACTGACATTTAGAGAGCATTGATACTGAAAAATATGATCAGAATTGTGTAGCCTCCTAGTTAACTGAATATAATGAAGGCAGGAAACTATGGTTATCCAAAGCAAATAATTTCATATATCTCGCGTCTGTTGCAAACCTCTATCACACTGACACGGCGCTTCCTTTATCACTGGAACACCAGAGCACCAGCAGCACCAGCAGACCAGAGCACCGAAGCACCAGAGCACCGAAGCACCAGAGCACCGGTGTGCCAGAGCACCGTACCACCGCCGCAGTCGCCACCTACCTGGCACCAGGTGCGGAACAGACGGACACCTCTCAGCGACTGTGTGCCTCTGTGGCCGCCCAGCCCGGCTTATATACCTTCACACGCTGCCAACCGGCGGCCGCCTTACTTGGTGAGGCTTACGTCGCGGCCGACGGGCGCGCGCAGCGCCGCCGCGTCGGGGACGACGCTGGCCCGCCTCCCCGCTACGCTGCCACCAAATATGGCAGGGGGGCTGGGTGGGGGACGGGCGGCGGCGGCGGCGGCGGTCTCGGCCGCCCAGCGCCGGCCGGCGCCGGTACTGTTTTAGCCGTGCTCTGCGCCCGTCATCCAGCAGACACGACGGAAACTGGGCGGGCCTGCTGTCAGCAGGCATTTCTGCTACGGCACTGGAGCAGGAGGTCCTGTTGCGGTCTTGTCGTGCCGCCCCGACACCGCGTCGGACACGGCGGGGACAGGGCGGGCCAGTAATGGAGTAAGCCACCTCACGTTGGCCGCGTCCTCTGTCAGTCTATCAAATGCAGTAGATAGATGGGTAAACATGCTTGCAGTGGAGGTCAACGTTTGTCGCAAGCTGTATTTTTAGAAAATGCATTGCCCCTAAATGCAGTTTAAATAACAGGCTTATTGTTTCTTTTTGCTGTTTTCGTGTATGGCATTACCTAACGCTGGCAGGGCTACCAATACAGCGCCCCAAGCGAGTTGAATTCCTTGTCAGTCTGGTATATAACGATTGCATGCGCTCTTATCTGGAAACGCCTTCTTTAAAGCTCAGTGCACGCTGCGAGTCCCGGCTCCTGAGCTTTTCGCTGCCAATCACTGGCAAAAAACTCTTGAACTCTGCTTTGTGAGGAGTGCCAATGTTGAGCATCGAGCTGTCTGGCTGTCTTGGCCTCCACCAAACGTGGTTATTTATATGGTATTGCCACAAGCGTGTGACACCCTTGGCACGTGATGTCATATGACTGGGTCAAGGGGTATAAAACGTTGCCAGATCCTTACACTCCCATCTTCGTCTTTTGAAATGCAGTTACAAATGCATATATCATACGCATCCTATTCATTGATGCAAACTGTGTGCGTTTGTCACTGTCACTTCTTCACGCCATCCGCTTCAGAAACAGTAAGAGTTGGCGATCTGGGCAGTTCACAATAAATCAGACTTTTTAAATCACAACCTGATCACAAATTGAGGGATAGACTTCATAGTTTTCCACAGTTCAGCCCCCAACTCACTTTGAGAAACTATGCTTCTGCTGATAACACATACATTATATATTGCCTGTTTAACGAAACATATGAGCCATTTTTACGCTTTAATAATCAAACAGGATCTTAGTTCATATGAAATCCGAAATTCACGAAACCTAGAATGAAAAGGATCTTAACGCATCGTCTTGCCATTACGTCTATCAAAATGCGTTCTGCTGGTGAAGCAGGTTCAAATAAATTAAAACGTCTCATTGCAGAATGTTGGCATTTTACTTACCGGACGGAGGAGAATGAATACTGAATATATATATATATATATATATATATATATATATATATATATATATATATAGTGAAATGTATGTATTAATATCTTTTAAAAGTGATCTCTCCTTGAAAGTAATCTCTTGAAAATGAATCCAGCGGAAATCCAGGACAGTTCTACTAGGGACGTAGAACAGCACTGATTTTCCATTTTCACCGTGCAGATACTTGCAAGGATCAAACAAACACTCGATGGTGTCAAAACAAATAGTAGATACGTGAATGCTAAAAGTCTTATGAGGAACCATAGATCCACCCAGCTCGTTCTGTCGGTTGCATCGCAGACTGGTCATTATCTAACTCACTAGGTTCCAGCCAGGTACCATTTGTATTATCGTTATCACATCAAGAGCACTTAAAAGCGCCTTAAAATACAGGTGTACTCAAGCCATCTAAAAGTGCCAGGCCAGGCTGGTTATCCCGGCATCTGTTTGGAGTGAGGTGGTACATAACTCGGTAGACGGTGGTCCAGACGCCTGTTTGGAACCAGTCAGGGCTAACTTAGTCGATGGTGATGCAAGTAGAGACCTTTATGCTAGCAGCTTCTTTTCTCAATCCACCCGTTACTTATGGGGCTGTGGCCCTATACACCCGCAACCTATTTATAATCAGCTGCACTTAACCGTTATCAGGGACATAGGCAACGGGGCCGCGTCCCCCCCCCCCCCCCTCCTCCGCTTGCCTGAGCCAACAGGCTTACTCTAAATGCTCGGCCATTTCACATAAATTTGTTCCAAACTCGCAGGGTTCGGAGAATATGTGTCATTTCCCAACGATGGAAGTTCTAGCAATGAGCCTATCCGTAACGTAAACGTTTGAATTTGTTCATCACTAGCTCTAAATCATTGAAGAGTCTCCAGGATTTTACACCCAAACTTACCTGTTTGTGTCAATACGTGCCAATCAGCAGGAAGAGAAGCATGTATGACGAAGGAAGCGCGCTGAGTAACGTTATGAAGCATTTATGGGAGCACCTACCAAATATTTTGTGCACGTCTTACCCATAACCACATCCATATCTGCAATTATTCAAAAATGTGCACCCAGCCCAGCCTGGGCATTACACATTCCGTATCGGTGTCTACGGGTGTACCCATTCCATGAAGTCCTCCAGTGGTTAGGGCCAGGCAATTCGTGGCACCCAGCCGGTAATCCATACCACTACTCAAAGTCGATGCATGACACGTGGGTAGTGATCGAGATGCCTGTTCAGAGTCGCGCGGTGCGTAGCTCGGTAAATGGTGGCCTAGTTCTCTGTTCAGAGTCGGGCGGTACATGGACAGTCAGCTGGTAATCAAGATTCCTGTCCAAAGGCGAGCAGTGTGTGAGGCTCGCAGGGGCTAGTCCGGATCCTTGCTCAGGCTGACAAATCGTGACCCAAGCCCTGTTTAGGGTCAGACGGCATGTGGCCCTCTAGGTCGTGATCCACACCCCTGTTTAGCGTCAAACGGTACGTGGCTCCGCAGATGGTGATCCAGATCCCCGTTTATAGTCGGGCGGTGCGTGGCTAGGCCGGTCGTGATCCACACCCCTGTTTAGGATCAGACGGCATGTGGCTCTCCAGGTCGTGATCCACATCCCTGTTTAGGGCCAGACGGCATGTGGCTCTTTAGACCTTGATCCACACCCCTGTTTAGGGCCAGACGGCACGTGGCTCTCTAGGTGATGATCCACACCCCTGTTTAGGGCCAGACGGCATGTGGCTCTCTAGGTCGTGATCCACACCCCTGTTTAGGGCCAAACGGCATGTGGCTCTCTAGGTCGTGATCCACACCCCTGTTTAGGGCCAGACGGAATGCGGCTCTCTAGGTCGTGATCCACATCCCTGTTTAGGGCCAGACGGCATGTGGCTCTCTAGACCTTGATCCACACCCCTGTTTAGGGCCAGACGGCATGTGGCTCTCTAGGTCGTGATCCACACCCCTGTTTAGGGCCAGACGGCATGTGGCTCTCTAGACCTTGATCCACACCCCTGTTTAGGGTCAGACGGCATGTGGCTCTCTAGGTCGTGATCCACACCCTTGTTTAGGGTCAGGCGGTGCGTGGCCAGGTCGGTCGTGATTCAGGCCCCTGTTCAGAGTCAGGCGGTACGTGACTCGCTAGGTCGTGATCCACACCCCTGTTTAGTGTCAAGTGGTACGTGGCTCGGCAGATAGTGATCCAGATCCCCCTTTAGAGTCGGGCGGTGCGTGACTCGGCCGGTGGCGGTCCAGACCCCTGTTGAGAGCCGGGCGGTGCGTGACTCGGCCGGTGGCGGTCCAGACCCCTGTTGAGAGCCGGGCGGTGTGTGACTCGGCCGGTGGCGGTCCAGGCCCCTGTTGAGAGCCGGGCGGTGTGTGACTCGGCCGGTGG